AAAAAAAAAAAAAAAAAGTAAAATGCTACACATATGGTTAGAATTGCTCTACTTGAAACTCGTCAGGTCCATACACATGTCCCCTTCCTCCCTGTCCTCTCCCCTCCCATCTCTAAGTGGAAATGACTGCTTGGCTCATTAAAAATCAGAGCTGCTTGTCTAATTGGTTTTGCACAATAAAACCTCAGCATTTCTTATGTCTTCTTAGGTTACCACAGGTTCTATCCATTCCTGGGAAAAGTTATTTTAACGCCAAGCCAACAAGATTTCTTCTTTGTTTACATTATAAATGGACACAATATTCTGAAATGCAGCCCCTCTCGAAAATAGCTTGGCGTTTGTAAGTGGTAAATTCTGAAGTTTCTGTAGCTTTTGGAATCTGGAAGCAGTAAACCCAAAGTACCATTTCAGATAGGTTTTCGTTTTCCCCTCTGCTGGCATGGCCCCACAGGCGAAGATGTTCCCAGGCACACCGTAGTGTGAGAAGCCTGTGGGCTCTGGGGTCCTGTCTGTGCCCCCATGGGCAGGTGGGTCTGTTTGGGTTTGATCGGGGCCAGGCCAGCCTGAGCCATGTGAGGCCTCTGGGGAGCTCAGGCCATGGACGCTTGGTGCAACCCCTGCCACTGCATCCACTGCACGGGGGAATGGTGGGTGCATTCCCCTCTCGAGACCTCCCTGTGGGTGTTCGGGGCACCTTGACCCCATTTTCCAACCAAGTTAGACCTGGTCCCTTGACCTCAGTCTCCCCAGGTTGGGTCCTTTGCCGTGGTATGTAAAGGTGGTCAGAGTCCTGAGACACCCTCCCCTCTTAGAAAACACTGTGGATTATTTATCTCCACAGTGAAGACATCAGCTTTTTCTTAACTCAGACATTCCTTTGGCCTCCCAAGTCCCTTGTGCCTTTAAGAGCTGGAATGTGTGCCTGCTACCCAGGCCGTGGCAGGCTGGTTGTGGGTACCTGCCTTGTGGGAGGATTGGCAAGATGTGCCCGCCCTGACATCACGCTGGCCAGACATGGGCAGTGTTGGGGTGGGGCACAGTGACAGCCTCCCCAGTGTGGTTCTGTAGCAGTTGATTGTTCAAACAGTATGCACGGGTTATTAATGTGATCTGGAGAAACAAGCCTTTATTTTGCAGAAGAAAATATGCAGATGAGCCAATGTTTGTTCATGTGGCATTTGGAGATGTCCACTCTAAGTCCTGCTTTTGTCCTCCGCAGCGGACAGCACCTTCGACAGCGGCCAGGGCTCCACCGTGTACTCGGACTCACAGAGCAGCCAGCAGAGCGTGGTGCTTGGCTCCCTTGCCGACGCAGCGCCGCCCCCCGCCCAGTGTGTGTGCAGCCCCCCTGTGAGCGAGGGGCCTGTCCTGCCGAAGAGCCTGCCCTCACTGGGGGCCTTCCAGCAGCCTATGGCTGCGGTGAGTCAGAGCGCCACTCCCACCCAATTCCCCATCCCCACTACCTGGTCTGAGAGCTCTAAAGTCTGTGATGGGCTGTCCAGGTTGTGCTGCACTGTGGTCAGCATTAAAAGTGGCCTGTGGTCAGCTTCCAGCCACACTTCCCCTGGGAGACATTCAAAACTCAGGCCCAGAGGAAAGCCCTGTCTTTCCTGCCAACTGCAGAACTGCTGGCTGGGTAGCCTTGACGGTCCCGTAAAGACCTACTAGATGGGAAAGACACCCTACTGGAAAACAGACCCGGGGACACCCAGAGGTTGGAAGACTGTGATAGAGCTGAGTGGTCACCCCTGGGGGGCAGGCACAGTGATAATGGTGACAAGCCATGGCCACAGTCATACCGATTGACTGTGCCCTGGGCCTGGGACATTATCTCAGACTGTTCCAGAGATCACAGAAAAGCATCATTTGTAAGAAGGAAACCTGAAATTCGATCTCACTGCCCAGCCTTCTGAGGGGCTCCTGGCACTTCTCTCCCAAACACTGTGTAGCGGTTAAAGTCAGAGCTGTGAAAATGGGGTGGGGATGAGGGGAACACTTTCAGGGACAATGTATGGTGAAGGAGTGATGGAGCCTCCGGCTGTGGGGACGCCTGTGGCATGATTCCCACGGGAAAGACTAAGATGAGTGGGGTCACATTCGGTATTTTTTTTTTTATTTTTAAAAAACACTTTAGAAAGCAAAACAATTGCTCTTCACAGTCCCAAGTGCGCAGCCACAGAGAGGTTGCCCATGAGCCCAGGTAGTAGATTGGTACCCTCAAAGGGTGGTTTGTTTGTTCATATGAGACAGAGTCTCGCTCTGTCACCCAGGCTGGAGTGCAGTGGTGTGATCTCGGCTCACTGTAACCTCTGCCTCCCGGTTCAAGCGATTCTCCTGCCTTGGCCTCCTGAGCAACTAGGATTACAGGTGTGTACCACCATGCCCGACTAATTTCTGGATTTTTAGTAGGGACGAGGTTTCACCATGTTGGCCAGGCTGGTCTCAAACTCCTGACCTCAGGTGATCCTCCCTCCTCAGCCTCTCAAAGTGCTGGGATTACAGGTGTGAGCCACTGCACGCAGCCTCAGAGGGTGGTTTATGGGGTGACCTATCTCACCTTCTGTGTGAGCTGGGAAGCCTAAGCAGGGATACCACAGGTGCAACCACTGTGTACTCTGGGCCAAGCTCCTCCCCTAGCGGGCAGCTCCTGCCTGGTGCTTTGGCCATGCCGGTTGTCACTTGTACACTCAGTGCTGTGGCCCGTCTTCTTGATGCCGGCTGAACGTGGCACATGGGCTGTTCTGGCCTCCTCTGTCCCACTGGCTGCCCTGCTGTATCCTTGCATGTGGGATCGTTCTTCCCAGGCCTGCTCAGTTGGAAGGGTCCAGAAAGGCCCTTTGAAAAAGCAGTTGAAGCTGTTTGCCGAGTCTGCCTTTGCTGACTGCAGCCCCAGAACTCATTTGCAGTTTTCTTCATTTCATAAAATGAAGTGAAGTAGAATTTTAAACAGCAGAAAGATCTCATTTAAGAAAAGGCAAGGCTGGGCCGGGCGCGGTGGCTCACACCTGTAATCCCAGCACTTTGGGAGGCCGAGGTCAAGAGATCGAGACCATCCTGGCCAACATGGGGAAACCCCATCTCCACTAAAAATACAAACATTAACTGGGCATGGTGGTGTGTGCCTGTAGTCCCTGCTACTCGGGAGGCTGAGGCAGGAGAATTGCTTGAACCCAGGAAGCAAAGGTTGCAGTGAACTGAGATCATGACACTGCACTCCAGCCTGGCACCTGGCGACAAAGCGAGACTCTTGTCTTAAAAAAAAAATGAAAAAGCAAGCTGGATGTAGTGGCTCATGCCTGTAACCCCAGCATTTTGGGAGGCTGAGGCAGGAAGGTCACTTGAGCCAGGAGTTCCAGGCACGCCTGGACAAAAAAGCAAGTCCATGTCTCTAAAAAGAAAAGAAAAGGCTACTAGCTGCTCCGGAGTGGTGGCTCTTGGCTTTGAGGATGGGCTGAACTGGGGCTGGACTGGAATGTTCTGCCTGGCTCTCATCCCTCCTCAGCCTAGATTAGGGCTTCCCATGCCGTGTGATGCCACACGAGGCACTCCTGGCCTGGACTCCCACTGGGCCTGGGCTCCCTCTCCTGTGGCCTCAGTGATGCTGCTGGTCTCAGCATCAGCATGGAAGCCAGGAGACCTGAGGGACATTGCAGGTACAGTCACCTTGGACCAGGGGCCCGACTCTCATCTTCCTACCTAGTGACGCAAAGACACGTTACTCAAAAAGGATAGGCATGGAAGGGGTCCTCAGGTATGCTGAGGGCTCTCCCCACCCCTCCATACCTTTCCTGGGAGGGTTGCCACGGCGATGTGTCCGTGGCACCCAATAAAGGAGGAGAAACAGACAAGGAGGAACAGCTGCCATGGGGTTGCCAGGCTGCCCTGGAGGTTGTTGGGAGCACCAGGCCACTTGTTCCCAGGCCACTAGGCCCTGCTCAAGCTCTAGGGCTATGCACAGTGCCCGGAGCTGGTAGACAGATACGGTCCGGCCCAGTCAGGCCCATTCTTCCACTCCCTGGCTTCAGGTGAATCCAGAAGCCCGGCTCAATTCCGCATATACTTGCTCTAACCACTCACCCCATGCTGCCTTTCATAAAGCATGCACAGCGAGAGACTAGTGAGGGGGGCGGTTTTGGGCATGCTGTCACTCACATGATCCAGAGAATCCCACGGGGGAGAACGTTCATGGCAGGGTGGAAGAACCGTGATTCTCTGTAGCCCCGCCTGCTCCTCACATTGCCATTGTTTTGAAGTAAATCCCAGACAGCGAGACAATGCCTCTGTAAATGATTCAGCCCCTGGCTCCGCACAATATGGACTCAGAACACAAGGCCCAATCCCATTATTACATCAACAAAATTAACAAATTCGCAGCAATTCCTTAATGGTGGCAAATTTCCCATTCTGAGAGCTTCGATTTCCCATTCCTTTGTGGTCTGTGTTCATTCTGCTGCTGGAGCGCTCACATGCTGCTGTTCCCGGGCCTATTTCTCTCCATATCATCTATGAGTTATGTATATATTTTCATCTTACACAGTCACAGTCATATGGACCGTGAGCGTCCCCATTTTTTTTTTTTTTTCTTTTTTTTTGAGACAGAGTCTCACTCTGTTGCCAGGCGCCAGGCTGGAGTGCAGTGGCACGATCTCAGCTCACTGCAACCTCCGCCTCCTGGGTTCTAGCAGTTCTCCTGCCTCAGCCTCCCAAGTAGCTGGGACTACAGGCCCACGCCACCACGCCCAGCTAATTTTTGTATTTTTAGTAGAGACGGGGTTTCACCGTGTTGGCCAGGGTGGTCTCGATCTCTTGACTTCATGATCCGCCCACTTCAGCCTCCCAAAGTGCTGGGATTACAGGCTTGAGCCACCGTGCCTGGCCGAGCTTCCCCATTTTAATGTCATTGGGAGCTTCTCCACGGTTCTGTGAAGCCTCTGTGCTGGCCTTTTTTGTGGTTGTTCAGTGTTCTGTCGAGGGCTGATGTGCCTGGCGCCCTGGGCTGGGAGCTGTGCTGTTGCTGGCCCTTCACGGTTGTGAATGATGCCCAGGGCCCCTCACTGCTTCGGCTGTCATGTTCGTGGGAGGAGGGACGCTGGAGGGGGCCAGGCACAGGGATGACATGAGGCTACTTTGCCCCTGCCCAGGAGCATGGGCCTGGTGGCTTAGAGCCGCTGCTGAGTGTGGCCCTGTGGCTCTCTCTGCAGCCTGGCCTGCCGGTGGGCTCCGTCCCGCCCCCCGCCTGCCCTCCGCCCCTCCAGCAGCACTTCCCAGATCCAGCCATCAGCTTTGCTCCTGTGCTGCCGCCGCCCAGCACCCCCGTGCCCACGGGCCCAGGCCAGCCAGCGCCCCCCGGCCAGCAGGTGAGTATGGCGCCTCCTGTGGCCACTGTCCGTCCAGGCAGGCAGTCAGCTGGTCCCTGGGCCCAGGTCTGTGAGTGCCTCCCACAGGCCCCTTCACTCATGTCCTCTGTGGTTCCCCTAGGTCTTTGGTGTGGCTGAGGGATGGGGGTGGCTCTCAGTGAGCGTGTGTGTGTGTGCATTTGCATGCGTGCATAGTGTTTGCAGTACCCTGCACATGGAGGGCTCTGCTTATTCAGAATGTCTCTGTAAGATTTGCTGTGCCCATGGCTCCAGGCTGGCTGGAGTTTGGTGGTCTGTGTGTCTGAATGTGTATACATGTGACTGTGCAAGTGTGTGTGCAGGCATATATGAATGTGAGCATGTGCGGGTACATGTGAGGGTGAGGGCTGATATCCTGTCATGTCTAACCAGTGGGGTACACTCGTCTGGGCAGATTGGTGGTCTAAGGGGAGCTGCTTTCTCTCTCTCCAGCCTCCTCCACTGGCCCAGCCGACGCCCCTGCCTCAGGTCCTGGCTCCACAGCCCGTGGGCCCCCTCCAGCCAGTGCCCACTCTTCTGCCGCAGTACCTGGCTCCAGCCTCCCAGGTGGGGGCCCCCGCTCAGCTGAAGCCCCTCCAGATGCCGCAGGCACCCCTGCAGCCGCTTGCTCAAGTTCCTCCGCAGGTACTTCTAGGTTGACAGCTGCCGTCAATGGTGGCGCAAGTTTGCCAGACCCTAGCTGGTGCACCAGGACACCCACAGGGGCTTGTCTGTGCACGTGACCTGTGACCCGGGGTGGGACTGGCCAGGGAGTTGGGGCTGGGCTAGCGAGTCCGGGGTGGGCAGCGTGGGCTTTGTGCACAGTCATATGCACCAGGAATGTTCCAGGGACCCACACAACGGGCCACTTGTCCTTTTTCCCCTGCTCACAATACTGGACCCATGAGTGTCAGCCTCCCTTGGTGGCTGGCTGGGCTGCTGCTGTCTCCTGCCCTCCAGCCTCACCTTCTCTCCCAACCTGGCAGGCCACTCTTGGTCCTTCCAGGCCATCACACCTTCTGGGCTGTGAGTGGTGGATGGGGTCCTTCAGGGAGGGTGGGCAGACCAGCACCCCATCACCCGGCACCCTACCAGCAATGTGCCTGTCTGCTCTCAGTGTACCCATGTGCCCAGGCTCATCCAGGAAGGAAAAAGTTTTTTAGTTCAAGGTCATGGACAGTAGTCTCGAGGTGGTTGCTGGGCTGGCACAGAAAGCGGGTGGGTTTGCCGTGGAGGAGCGTTCTTCTGTGGAGCTCCCTGGGGTCATGCGGCATGTAGCTCTTGGAGTTCCAGAGCCAGCCAGTGGCATGGCTAACTCTCTGGGGACACTATCAGACCTAGCCACATGCAACCGGTGCAGAATGTAGCCGGGGCCAGGATACCATTGCCCAGGTAAATGGCATGGAGGATTCTAGGTATTTCAGAGGCCTTTGGTGACCCCAATGGACTGATCAGTGGTAAGACTGGAAGTGTGCTTCACTCTGAAGATGGGGCAAGCAAGTGCTCCTGCGGTTTACAAGCTCCACCTAGAAGATGTTGTCTCACCTACCGCTCAGGCCCAGATGTCACCATAGGATGTTAGGTGGCTTCAAGGTCTAGTGCAATCGTCATCTTGCTTGTTCAGACACAAGTCCATGTGCATTTTTACTGCCTCTTGATTGCATGGAGGTGTAGGCCAGGGGACACACACCAGCATGGACCAGAAGGCTGTCAAAGACAGAAGTTCTGAATCCACATGGCCTGGCGTCAGCTGCCCCTGGAAGGCACATGCATTGCTGAGAAGATGCGGACGAGGTTTCGGAGTTCCTGCTGTGGGAAGGCTGGACAAGATAGGGGTGTCGCTTGAGCCAGCCAAGGTGGCGCAAAGATTTTCTTTCACTGAGAACCCTCTAAGAAGTTAGGTTTCAACTTGAATTTGTACATGTTGCGGTATCAGGCTAAGGTGATTGCAGATGCTCAGGGCCAGTCTGGTGGCTCTGACAGTCCCAGCCCTTCCGAATGAAAATGCTCCAGGGCTCTGAAGTCACTTCTCCATGACTTGTGGTTGCTGCCCGACTCCCTCGGAGCCCCAGCATGGCTGTCTGTCATGAGTGTGGACGCAGGAAGGCCTCCCTGCGCTGGGCTGGGGTGATCTAGCAGGTCGTTTCCAGCCTGCCAACTTTCCTTTTCTATTTGAAGAACTTTACATGATTGGGATTCCTGCTTCTGTTGGGTTTATGTTTGGGTTCCCTTCAACAGCAGCTACACAAAGGTGTCTCAGAGGAAAAGGGCCGTGCTCTCCTTATCCTGTGTCCCCTTGTCCCCAATGACTGGCTGTCCTTGCATGCAAGTGCTGTGGGCAGGGACCCTTGGTCGGGGCTCACACTGACGCACTCCTGTGTCTCTTTCAGATGCCCCCGATTCCTGTCGTGCCCCCCATCACGCCCCTGGCAGGAATCGACGGCCTCCCTCCGGCCCTCCCAGACCTGCCGACCGCGACCGTGCCCCCTGTGCCGCCACCTCAGTATTTCTCTCCAGCTGTGATCTTGCCGAGCCTTGCTGCCCCGCTCCCCCCTCCGTCCCCAGCCCTGCCTCTGCAGGCTATGAAGCTGCCCCATCCCCCTGGGGCGCCCCTGGCCATGCCCTGCCGGACCATTGTGCCAAATGCACCGGCTGCCATCCCCCTGCTGGCTGTGGCTCCACCGGGCGTGGCTGCCCTGTCCATTCATCCTGCTGTGGCCCAGCTCCCGGCCCAACCTGTGTACCCAACGGCCTTCCCACAGATGGCGCCTACCGACGTCCCTCCTTCCCCCCACCACACGGTGCAGAATATTCGGGCCACCCCTCCACAGCCGGCACTGCCCCCGCAACCCACGCTACCCCCACAACCCATACTGCCCCCACAACCTGTGCTGCCCCCGCAACCCACGCTGCCCCCACAATCCATACTGCCCCCACAACCCGTGCTGCCCCCGCAGCCAGCATTGCCTGTGCGCCCTGAGCCCCTCCAGCCCCACCTTCCTGAACAGGCTGCTCCGGCTGCTGCACCAGGGAGCCAGGTAATCACCTGCAGGGCAGGGGCTCACCGTCCCAGCATGTGGGGGGCCCTCAGGACCCAGAGTTGTAAAGGACTTTTGGCTGCTCTGTCCTCCTGCTGGGCCTGTGCTATCCCTGAGTACCTTGACTGAGCACTCCAGCAGCTGGGAGCCAGGCAAGGAGGCAGCTCTGCCTGGGGCCGCCCCTCTCAGGAAGAGATGTATGTGAGGCTGAGGGAGGCGGGGGCTGGCGCCAACGCGGGGTATCTGTATCTCTGTTTTTCGGATGGGTTAGGAGATGAGGGAGTCCGTGGCTGATAGGTTCTATGTCCCTCCCTTCCCACGGCTCTGTGGCCCCTGCTCTTGTGGTATCTTTGCACCTTCCCTCATCCAGGGCTAATCTGGCCGCCTTGATGTGGCCTGCATTGGGACACAGGGCATCTGTCTGAGGTCTGCCCTTTAAAGAGCACCTTGTTAAGATGAGGCAGGGTGACAACCCCATCTTAGGGAGGGTGAGGAAGCCAGGCCAATAGGGAGGCGGGGGCTGAGGGCAGGTAGCACTGCTGGCTGCAAGGGTGATCATGGTGGGACCCACAACCATGTCCTGGTGTCAGGTCTTGTGGAGACCCCTTGGCAGCATGCTGGCTGGCTGTGAATGGGCGCTCTGGAACACAGGATATGCACCCTACTTGATGGGAAGCCTTCCCACAGGGATCCACAGCCCTACAGTCCACTCATGTTTTGGGGCTTACAGACTATTCTGTTCAAACTTGAGTGAGGGGAGAGAGGCTGGTGTGGGAGTCTTCCCACCTGGGCCCTCTCGCGCCTAGGCCTCCTCACCTGGGTCCCATCCTTCTTGGCATCTTCCCACCTGGGCCTCCTCTCCTGGCCTCCGCCCACCTGGCCTCACCCCAGCTCTGAGCCCCATCAACCCTGTAACTGTGGCACAACCCGGCCTTTTGAGCCTCAGCCTCTGCAGGAAAGCGGCTGGCATAGCTTAATGTGAAGGGGCCTGGGGTGGTGCATCCCTGGTGCCAGGTGCCCCCAGTTCCATTAGTGTTGAATCCAGTCTGGAGTAAGACCCCCCACTATGAGCCGTTCCTCCTGGCCATCACTTCTTGCTGTCTTGTCTCCAGAGGGTTTTGTGTGTAAAGAAGGAAGGGATGGTACATAATGGATAGCAGAGTGGCATCTGATGAGACAGTGAGTGGGAAGAATCGCATCTGTTCTGCGGCCCACCTGAGCAAGTGCTGTTGGTCCCAGCGGCAGGTTTAGCGGCAGCTCAGAGCCTGCTGTTCACAGTCAGGTCTGTTTCTCAGAAAGCTGAGGTCCACACTGGGGAGCAGGAGGGAGACCTTGCCGTCTGGGCCTTCCTACCTGAAGAACCTTTCTGGCCACAGTTAGTAGCTAGAGAGGGGTCACTGCCAGACTCAGTGGCTGTCCTTGCTGTTCGTCCAGGGAAGGGTCCAGAAGTCTGTTGATGAGCTGGGCCGGCCACCCCGTGGTGCCCCTGAATGCAGCAGCTGCGGTTATCTGTCTGTCCAGGAGGGAAGTGGCCACCTGCCAGGCTAGGGCTTGGTATCTCTGACCCCACCACTGGCTGCCAACAAAGGGTCTCAGGGCCAGCAGTCTCAGTGAATGTGGCTGTTCCTTCAAGCCCTGAGAGGCGAGAAGTTCCTCTAAATTTTCAGCCTTCTCAACTCCAAACTGGGGGCAGAAGACAGAGGGTACTTGTGCTTTCCAATCCGTGGTCCCTCCTTCCCCACTTGTTTGACCTTTTACCCCCAAAGAGGTTTTAGAGAGAGAACAGTGGGGAAGCCAAGCCTGAGCCACAGTCGCCCTCTGGAAGGTGGCAGGTGTTGGTGGCAGGTGCCCTGTACGTGCTGGGACAGATGGGGCAGGTTGCCCCAGGCCCCAAGGGGTGGTGGGGGCCTGGCTTCGATGCTGTGTCTTGCCCTCTGACTCTTCAGCTGAGCTTGGCAGGTTCATAGCTGGAGCCCTGTTCCTGGCCTTTCTACATAAATAGACTCTTACACAGAAAGGGGTGTGAGAATGCCCATTCCTGTTTGTTTCTGCTCACTCCATGCGCTAAATGTGCTCTGAGACAGGGCTCCTCTTGGGGAGGGTGTAGACTGGAGAGGGGGTTCCAGTCTCTGCCTGGGTGTTCATGGACACACCTGGGCACGGACCCTCAGTGAGGGCAGCGTCAAGCCTGACTTGCACCTTGTCCTCTGTGCCCCCAGATTCTGCTTGGCCACCCAGCTCCCTATGCTGTAGACGTCGCTGCTCAGGTCCCCACTGTGCCTGTGCCACCGGCTGCGGTCCTCTCCCCGCCTCTGCCGGAAGTGCTGCTGCCTGCTGTCCCTGAGCTCCTGCCTCAGTTCCCCAGCTCCCTGGCCACGGTGTCCGCCTCTGCGCAGAGTGTGCCCACCCCGACTGCCACACTTCTGCCACCAGCAAACCCGCCACTGCCTGGTGGGCCTGGGATCGCCAGACCCTGCCCAGCTGTCCAGCTGACGGTGGAACCGGCCCAAGAGGTGTGTACTCCTCCCTGCAACCTGTCCCATGACTGGGTAGTTGCAGCCACCAGGGGTCTGCACAGTGACCTGGGGTCTTAGCCCTAGAGGTTGGGGTTACTTGGGTCGGGGACAGCCACCCAGGGCCTGTTCTCATCTCTCCCTCGATTTCGCACTTTCTGTGAGCCACATCAAGACAGAGGGTGTGATTTTTATAGACATAGTTTAGAGGATGCTTTCCCTGGGACAGGATGCAAGAGACTGTGAAAAGCTTTCATAGAACCAGTGCGTCCTCTTTGAGGGATGTTCAAAGTGGGTTACATTTTTGGAAAGGAAGTGGCTCCCAGCTTTCATGAATCCACTTGGCTCCAAGTGTTTCAACAAGATAAAAAACCTCCAAGCCTGCCCCCATTGTGGTGCCCCCTGGGTCGTACCCACCTGGCTGCAGAAGAGAGCAGGAGAAGGCAGGGGAGCAGGCTGGGCCGAGGAGGTGGGGAGGGAGAGCTGACTGTGAGCGGCTGTGCCCACAGGGAGGCAGGAGCCAGCATGACCCGTCCTCTTTTCTCTGCATTTTTATTTCAGGAGCAGGCCTCGCAGGACAAGCCGCCTGGCCCCCCACAGAGCTGTGAGAGGTACTGTGGCCCAGCCTTAACCTTGAAGTACAGGTTGGGGGGTGCAGGCCTATACAGCCACTCAGCCTGGCTCTTCTGCTGCTTCCCATGGAACCCACTGCAGTTTGCCCTGATGCTTTTAGGGCTTTTTCAAACCTTACCTGATGGAGCCTCAGGGGCCTCCTCTCTGGGTCTTGCCAGCTGTTGTTGGAGTTTGGTAGTCTGAGGCCCCCTGGGCTCTGGGTCCCTGCTCTGGTTTGTAGTACTGAGAATGTTCCCGAAGGGAGAGGCTATGGGTGGAGTCCGAAGTGCCCAGAGGCTCGGAGGGGCCTGGGAGGGTGGCCCTCTGTGTTCAGGGTTGAATCCAGACCGGATCCTGGGTCTTCTGGCCTCCTGGGCTACAGGCACAGGTATTTCAGGAAATGAACTGTGTCCTTATGTGAACTGTGACCATTTGTTCCACTCTCCTGTGGTACGGGGCACTGCCTGTGTTTGGCATTTTGCAGACTGCAAACAGATTGGCTTCACAACAGTGGCTGATGTGTTTCTGTTGCTATGGCACAGATGGGGAAATTGAGGCACAGGGGCCAATTCACAGGTCAGGAGACTGAGAGGACCAGGGTCATGCAGCCAGTAGCTAGGAAGCCTGTGCTTCCCTCTGCCTGTGCTCCTTGAGTGCAGCAGGGAGCAGGATGTGGGCCCAGAAGTAGGCTTGGGGTATCCGCACAGGACAGGGGCTGCTTCCGTAGTCACAAATTTGGGCCCTGGAGACTCCAGACTGTTCCGTAGAAGCCGACTTTCCCCACCATAGCTGACCTGCTGGTTGTCCTTTGGTGCCATTAATGTTCTTGGTTTTTGCCCAGCTACGGAGGTTCTGATGTCACTTCTGGAAAAGAGCTGAGTGACAGCTGTGAAGGCGCCTTTGGAGGGGGCAGGCTGGAGGGCAGGGCAGCCCGGAAGCACCACCGCAGGTCCACGCGCGCGCGCTCCCGGCAGGAGAGGGCCAGTCGGCCCCGACTTACCATCCTGAACGTAAGTGGGCGGGGCACGCGGGGGGCGTGGCCGGTGCGCGTGGCACGTGGTGTGTGCGCACAGCCTGGGCTGACGGTGCCCTTTCCAGGTGTGCAACACTGGGGACAAGATGGTGGAGTGCCAGCTGGAGACGCACAACCACAAGATGGTGACCTTCAAGTTCGACTTGGATGGGGACGCGCCTGACGAGATCGCGACGTACATGGTGAGGTTGGGTCAGGGTGGCTTGGCTCCCGCTGTTCCTTGGGGGCGTATGGGCCCGAGCAGAGCGCCACAGGTCACATGTTGGGCCTGACCTTGTGTAGAGGTGTCAGTTGGCCCAGGGGCTTTTCAGGGGCAGTACTGACCATTTACTCTGCGGGCTCTTCCCCACAACGGGCTGAAACGCCCTGAGTTTGGAAGAACAGCTTGAAGGATGTGTCCTTAACCTTTCTAAGATGCTGCTCCCTGAGGGCTTCTGGAGCACCTGAGCCTTTCCTCCAAATAAAAGGAAGCCTTGTGGGTAGGTTCTATGAGTAAGGCCTGTGGAGGGCATCCCAGAGTCTAATGTCCTGTGGTCCTTAGGTAGAGCCTCTTCCAGCCTCCCCAGCTAGGATGGGGGCTCCAAGCCCTGACCCATGTCCCATGCCCCCACCCGACTCTGCCTGCACCTCCCTTTGGAGCCACCCCTCCCTGTCTGTGCAGACCAACCTGAGTCCATAAGCACCTTGTAGGCCTTCACAGCCCCACACCTGTGGTCCCTGGCACCTAACCCATGCTGGGAGTGGGGATCTTTTTTGGGCCCTCAGAAGCTCTCCAGCTGAAAGCACACATGAAGAAACACATGGAAAGGATGCACATGTGTTCCTCAAATTTCCTGGTCCGCCTGTGACTGCCTTCCAGGAGAGTATTCTCTCCAGACCATTATTCCTGCATTAATGAGGTTTAGGAAGCCAGGTCCTAAAGGGGCTGGCAGCACACTGGACAGTGTTGTAGTTCTCACTCCAGATGGCCACCAAGTGCCTGGAGTGTGCCAGCATGAGTAGGGAATAGAATATTCCATTCAAGTTAAAAACAAAGATTGCCCCATGTGTCTACCTTGCGGCCACCCCCTTGGGCTGCATCACCCTGGCCACCCCTGCCCTGGCTTCATGAAATCCTCATGTGGGCTTTGCAGGGGAAGCCCCTGGCTTTCTGCTCCTAGGGAGCAAGTTCCTGCCTTAGTATCTGCTTTGCAGAGACACCTTGGACAAGGCCCTCCCAGAGCCCAGGCCCAGGGCATAGTCCCCTGCAGCATTAGAGATATTCTTCTGACACTTGTTACAGTGGTTGGGAAGACTTTATTCAGGACTGTGGCAACAGGGGAGAGAGAATGAGTTTAACTGAATGAAGCAGAGACCACAGGGGAATCATAGCCAAGGAGCAGTGTGGGGATGGGTGGCTGGAAAATAGCTAAGAGGAGAAGTCAAGGTTGGGGATTCTGGAGAAACCCTGGTAACAGGATCCTTGCTGGGGGCAGGTGAGAGGCTTTGTTCAACCTCAAAGGCGGGAGATGAGGAATATGGTCAGATATGAAGGCTGGGAATTCTCACTACAGCTGGTTAAGGCTAAAGACAGGACGGGGCCTGGTCGGAGGGTCAGAGGCGCCAGCTGCACTTCGGTTAGGGAAGAGTCTTTGTCAGCAGCCAGCAGCTGGTTGCTCGGCACAGCAGGAATGCCAGATCCTCGCTGGGTTGCTGAAACTGGAGAACATCTCTTATCTTACTGTGTCTTTAACCTGTGTCTTGTCTTACTTTATACACACACGTTTCAAGCATGATAAAGAATAATAATAAAGCGAATGCCTGTGAAGTTATCACTCAGCCAGAGGCTGATGCTGTCTGTGCAGCAGATCCCTCCAGCACCTGTCTGCAGAGCAGGAAGCCACACACACAGCATCAGCCACATCAGCTTGTGTCGTGCCCGCTGGTCCCCTGGTTTCAGTCTTCTTGCGTGTCTCTGTGTGTGAGTCTTTGTGAACCGCACACGTGTAAGTCCTGCACAGTAAGTGATGTGGCTATTCTTTAGCTGTGTGCTTTGTAAAAGTAGCATTTTCTCAGACTTGGTTTTTATACTCAGCACTCAGATATACTCCTCTTATTTTATTGCTTTTTCTATCACCTTAGTAAACCAAGTCACCTAGCATACCTGTCTGAAGTAAGCGTGCTACAGACACACAAATTCGGTCCGTAAAAACAGCCCAGCAGTCCTCCCCGTCACAACCTGTTCCTGTCCCGGGAACAGAGTGGCCCCAGGGGCCCGAGTTGAAGGGTGGGTGTGTGGCCATCGAGACAGGCGCTGTTCAGACAAGCTCCTGCCTGCCCTGTGGACTTTCTTCGTGGGAGTGTGAGGCACCAGGCGTCCTTCAATGTCTTGTCAGTGGTTAGAGGTCTTCAGGCCTCAGGTTCATCATTCTAACCGTAAAGACCTTTCCAGCCCCTTAGTAAAGGTGGAACTGCAGAAGTTTCATTTAATTGGCATGGATTCTAAAGTCAGGTTATACCTGGGCCCTATATTTTTAGATTTTTGTTTTGTTTTCAAATTAATTTTATTCTCAACATACTTAAAAAGAAACATGATAGGAAAACATTTTCTAGTTGCAAAGGTGTTCTAGTTAAATTTTGTTTAGTGAAAACTTCACAGAATTGGAACATTGCTTAAATTCTCGCATGGAGCACTCCTGTCACAGCTGGCAAGATGCTTCACCTTTGGCCACAATGTACTATTCCTCATAAGACAACATCGCAGTCACACACTACATTAAATTAACTCAATCACAGAACACAGCACAAGCCAGCACTTTGTCTAGGGGTGTATGCAGGTGGTACTCCTGGGGGTGGGGTCTGGGGTGCCAGGGGAGTGGGGGGTGCAGAGGAGCCCTGCTTTGCAGCCAGCTGGTTAAGCAGGGCAGATGGGCCCATCCCAGAAGAGGTCTGGGACCATGGATGCCCCAGGCCAGGCCTAGAGCATCTTGGTGACTGTAGAGGTGTGTAGGTGGGAGGAGGTGCCATGGCAGGAAAGGGGCAGGGTCTGGACCCCACTGGGTGGCGGCACAGGCTGACCTCTTTCATTGGTATGGTTTTATGAGATGCACAGCAGTCTCTCTGCCTGAGTGGCCAAGGATGTAGCCAAAGCCGAGTGTGAGCTTGGGGCCACGTGCCCACAGTGAAAGTTGGAGACTGTGGATGTGTCCGGAGCTCCTGGTCTGGAGGCTTCATGATTTCCAGGCTGTGGCGTGGGACCTCCCCTCAGCCATGACAGGAGCTGCTCGTTGGACATCAGGCCATGCTTGCGTGTGTGCTGGGGCCATAGTTGAAGGTCAAAGGCTGAGGCTGGGAGAGCTGGAGGTGCAGAGACCAAGAGGTGACATGGGGCCCACCTGCTTTCTATCCCCCCACAACCTCCTGCTGGCTGGAGCCTTTGCCTTCGATCCCACCCTCCTTATCTGTCATGACTGTCTGGGCACCTGTGCCCAGGTAGACCCCCTCCCCTCTTCCCAGTCCCTGTCCTTGGCCCCCTCCATCCTGTGTACTCACCTGCTCTGCAGATGGCTGCACCAGCCTCAGGGTCTGTAACCAGCTCCAGCTGGGGCAGGACAATGACGGCTCAGGTCCCTGGCTTGGAGCAGGGAGTTGCCGGCTTGGAGCGGGGAGTTCCTTCTTAAGATGAAGCTGCTCTCCTCCCATCCTGGGGCCATCCATGTCACTTGCTGAGCTGTCCATCCCCTGTCTGGGGACCACACCCCTTCCCCATGTCTTCCCCTGGGGCCTGGTATAGGGTAGACATCCGTCAATCCAGATGAAGACCCAGGGCAGTCTTGGCCTTGCAGCTGGTCCTCATCGGTAGTGCATCTCTTTGCAGGTGGAGCACGATTTCATCCTGCAGGCTGAGCGGGAGACGTTCATTGAACAGATGAAAGATGTCATGGACAAGGCGGAGGACATGCTTAGCGAGGACACGGATGCCGACCGTGGCTCCGACCCAGGGACCAGCCTGCCACACCTCAGCACCTGCGGCCTGGGCGCCGGGGAGGTGAGGTTGTGAAATCCTGGTTGGGAGGTGGGCTTTGGGCGCGGCAGCTCAGTGGACTCGTTTCTGACCCTCCACCTCATTCAGGAGAGCCGGCAATCCCAAGCCAACGCCCCCGTGTATCAGCAGAACGGTGAGTCTGTAACTTCCTTCCCTGCTTTTCAGCGGGCGTTTGATAAAAGCCCCTGCTCAGCATATTGCCAGGGGTTTGGCCGTTGCACGGGGGGATTATGGAAGCGTGTGGTGACCAGGGGGCTCCCATCTGGGGACAGCTGTCCTGTCCAGGAGCTGTCACCTGCAACTAGCATCACGGCCTTCATGGATGGTGCCTTGGGCATCCCAGAAGCCAAGCCTATGCCAGGGACCCTCTTGGGAGCTTCTGGGTGCCAGTGAGGTACCCCAGGTTGACTGTGTACCCCTTGTCCTCTGGTATGAGGGAAGAGCAGGCAGAAACCCGTCACTAAGGCCTCTTTACCAAGGGGCCTGAGGAACCACCTGCTTCACGGAGGGAAGTGATAGGGATTATGACTGGGAATAGTGTTCTCTGCTCACACCCTTCCTGGAGAAAATCCCATAGGCTAAAGTAGTTCTCTGGACCTTTGGTGCCAAGTCTGGTGCAGGTGGTGGGGGTCACATCGGCCTGGAGAGACACTCACTCACTCAGTGTGCTGTTTCTGTTCTGCCCTTCAGTCCTGCACACTGGGAAGAGGTGGTTCATCATCTGTCCGGTGGCTGAGCACCCCACCCCCGAGGCCCCTGAATCTTCGCCCCCACTTCCTCTAAGCTCCCTGCCGCCAGAAGCCAGCCAAGGTATGAGCAGCCGGCACCCACCCAAGCCCCTCCTTGGTTCACTTGCAGGCCTCCTTCTGTGCATGACCCCGCTGGTATGTGCTTGGTGTCCAGGGCCATACAGGGGCTCACCCTGCCCTGTCACCCACAGTGCAGGGCATCCTGAGGGCCTGTATTCTTGTCCCTGTTTTCCACCGAATCAGCTCAGTCGAAGCAGCTTCCAGGCTTGAGTCTGCCCTGTTACCCCACCAAGCAGGTGGCTCGTGTGGCCGCACAGGTGTGTGCTGAAGAGCTCCGCCACCCTTCCTCCGCAGTGTTAACCTGGTGACTCCTTGCTCCCATCCCTTTCCTCTGCGCCGCACACCTGCAGCAGACACGCCCCTGTTAGTTCTGCTTGCTTTGTTGGGTGGGGTGGGAAAGTCCCTCCTGGTGCTGAGACTCTGATTTTAAAGTGTTCACACAGGCGTTGATCACTGTGCATTGATCTGCACCTGTACCTGCCCATATAGATGCCAACAAGCCTGTGCTTTGGGCTGTCAGTTAAATCTTGATGGTCTTTTGGGAGGCTAAAAATTGTCGCTTGAACAAATTTAAGGTTTAATCCCCTATCAGTTGGCAGGGAAAAGTTACTGATTACATAACTTGACATAATCTCATGGCACATTCATGAAAAATATGTGTAAATCTTTTTAAATTTTATATCATATGCTTCCAATGACTTCCATTATCTTTTGGAGATTCTTTCCCATGAAGGACAGGTCAGCCTAATAAATCCAAATGAAGCCACCAGCTGAAACAAGGTGATCTCAGATAAAGGGCTTGGGCCCAGCCTGGGCTGAGAAATCAGAGAGAAGCAGGCTTGCCTACAAGATTCAATTTTTAAGTAAGAACATGTTCATATATTACTTCTGGATTTTAGTACACACACACCCAATTATAAGAAAAACCCTTCTAAGAGCTAGATTTTCCTTTGAGATAGGGTGCAGGGGACACTGGTGTAAGTTTAGGGGACAGTAGAACGGAGTTAAACCCTTTTTATGCACTGAGTGACTTCAGGAAACCTTTTAGAGTTAGTTTCTTTTTCTGTTAAAAAAAGGAAGAATTGGTGACAGAACTGTTAATTTGGATTAACCATCCACTGATAATGACCCAAAACTGATAAAAGTCATCTATGTGAATTGAAGGCATTTGAAATCTGATCATAGTGGAGAATTACCTAGGCTGGGGTGCAGGGGAGGATGGAGACATAGGGGTGTGAGCCTAGTTCTGGCTCCTTTTCCCTGGGGAGCATCTCCCATTCCTGCAGGGGTGGCTGAGAGGCTATGTGGTGTCAGCAGCCTCACTAGGCTAGAGAAAAAGCTTATAGAGTCGAGGACCCTGAGGGTGTCCCTGCCAAAGTGCTGTACTGGAGGAGGAAGGCCCAGATGGAAGGAGACAGGCCTGCAAAGAGAGGAACACACCTCAGAGCATCTCAGCTCCTCATTAGGGCAGTCTCAGAGTGCATGGGCTCAGGCATGAAAGTCCTTTCTGCAAGAGGGAATATTATTCTGGGACCTCACATGACTTGTACGAACAGTTTTGTGAATATGATATCTGGCACATAATAGAAATGAACAAAGAGTTGGGTTCTGGGTAAGGCAGAAGCAGCACATGCACTCATTTTCTTTCCACTGAAATGCACTGTGAATCCTGGACAGATGTGTGACACAGCTGTCTGAGCATTTGGGAAAACTTTAGCAGTGGGAAGATGGGGGAAGCACTCCAGAATTCAAAATGTCACTGAGCTGGTGGTGAGTTGATGTTTTCCTCTGGTATTTCTTGGTCTGAACAGAGTATTCCCCAACGACCAGAAGCAAATGCTTTGGTGCAGGCAGGGAAGCCTCCAGGAGAAATTCTGTAGTTCCAGCTCCCAGACCAGGAGATGCAACTCGTAAAGCTCAGAGAAGAGAGAGAACCCCTCCCCATTGCTCACCCCCTTTCTCTTGCACCAGCACCCACACGTAATAGGAGCAGCAGGTAGCATGCAAGAGCCAAAATAGAGCAGAGAACTGTTCTTCATGTTGAGGGAGCCAGGGCTTTAGAAGCACAGAACCAAAATCTGTTACTTTTTTTTTTCCTCTGTCTTCTTGCCACCTGGTCTTTCATGGCACAGCCACAGAACTGGGTGGTTTCTGTCCAGAGATTTGGAAAGGTGAGTCCTAGGGAACCAGAAGGTATCACAGAGAGCACAGAAAAGGAGTTTGGGAAAGTAACCTTATAAAGTTGTTTATGGACTCCTGGGCTCACCTCCAACCTGTGCAGCCATACGTCTGATCCTAAGAGCATATAAGAAACTTTGGCAACTGAGCTAATGGGTAGACCTCACCCAGGTTCCAGTACACCTGTTTCAGACGAGATTAGTACTGTGAAGGCATTGAAAATGGAACTGACATGTAACCGCAGCCCATAGAAGGCAGGTTGCAACTTGCAGTCTGAACCTAACCAGGTTGACTGCCTACTGAAGCAAAAATATCAGTATTCGTCATAGGACTTAAACAAGTCTCAGGATTTCCTAATGTCATTGAAAATGTTCAGAATAGAATTTGAAATAATTTGGCAAATGAAAATCCATGAAAATGTTAACTTGCATGGAAAACGATAGCCATGGTGCCAGTGATAAGGGGATGTAGATTTTTGGGTGATCTGACAAAAACCTTAAAGCAGCTGTTACAAATACAACTCAAAAAGCAGTGGTAAACATTCTTGAAACAAAGGATAAAGTAGAAAGTATCTGCAAAAAAGAAACAGAATTTTTAACATTGAAAGTTAAAATACCTGAAATTGTCCAACTGGGAAATGGGGAAAAGATATTAAAAAAATAAACAGTGCTTCAAGGAACTGTGGAATAACAACTAAAGGGCTAACTTGTGTGTCATTGGAATCTCAAAAGGAAAAGAGAAAGAGTGCAGTGCAGAAAACACATTTGAAGAAATAATGCTAAAAATTTCCCAAGTTTGGTGAAAGACATAAGTCTACAGATGCTAGAAGCTAAGCAAACACCAAATAGGTTAAATGCAAATCAATCTGCTGAAAAATAAAGACAGCCAGACAAAAATTATGCAGTTACCTAGATTGGAACAGAAATTTGAATGACTATAGATTTCTCACCAGAAAGTGTGATGTCCAGAAAGAAGCATCAGGGCATTTTTAAAGTGTTGAAAGAAAGAACTGTCCACCCAGAATTCTGTTTCCAGGGGAAATATCCTTCAAGAATGAAGCTGAAGTAAGGCCATTTTCAAATAGAGAAAACTAAGGGAATTCATGGGCTGCATACCTACTGTAAAATTAGAATTGCTAAAGATCTTCAGGCAGAAAGGAAATGAAACTAGAAGATAACTTGGAACATCCAGGCTGAAGGAAGAGCAGCAGCAATGGTAAATATAATAGACTGTTTTTCTCCTCGAGTTCTTTAAAACGTTTCTGACAATTGATGTAAAAAAAAAAAGATTATAACAATGTCTGATAAGGCTTTCAATAAATGTAGATGTGATATATAACACAACTATGATATGGCAGCTTACCTGTACATTACTACATTCCAATTCAAGTGGTAAACTACTATTCTTTTTTGGTTTTGAAATGGAGTTACGTTCTTTGTTGCCCAGGATAGAGTGCAGAAGTGCAATCTTGGTTCACTGCAACCTCCACCTCGTGGGTTCGGGCAATTCTCCTGTCTCAGCCTCCCCAGTAGCTGGGATTATAGCCACCCGCTGTCGTGCCCAGCTACTTTTTGTATTTGTAGGAGAGACAGGGTTTTGCCATGTTGGCCAGGCTATTCTCGAGCTCCTGATTTCAGGTGATTCACCCACCTTGGTTTCCCAAAGTGCTGAGATTACAGGCATGAGCCACCACACCCGGCCACCTTCCATTCCACCAGTGTGACAAATGGAAGGTAAACTACTAATTTTAAGCAGACTGTGAAAAGTTAAGTATGTATTTTGGAATTCCTAGAGCAACCACTGAAAGAATTGTACAAAAAAATATGTATAGGCAAAATTATAATAGATTATATGAACTAAAAAATTCAGATAACGCAGAAGAGGAAACAAGAAGAGAAGTAAAATATTTTTTAATTAAAAAACTGAGAGAAAAAAATAGACAGAAAACAAACAATAAAATGGTAGACCTTAATCTAAACATATTGATAACCTCAAGGTAACAGTCTTAACTCATCTATTAAAAAAAGTGATTATGAGAATGGATTAAATTTAAAAACCTAACAACTTGAGCTAAGTATATGCTATTAGTAATTTCAAATACAAGAATACTGATACTGAAAGGTCAAAAGAAAAAGAGGGGTAAATATAGACCATGTAAACACAAATCAAAAGAATGCTGGATTGCCTGTTTTAATTTCTGACAAAACAGACTTCAGAGCAAAGAAATTACCAGGGTTAAAAAGAGACATTACATATTTATTTATTTATTTTATTTGTTTATTTTTTTGAGACAGAATCTGACTCTGTTGCCAGGCTATAGTATAGTGGCATGATCTTGGCTCACTGCAACCTCCCCCATCCAGGTTCAGGTGATTCTCCAGCCTCAGCCTCCCAAGTAGCTGAGACTACAGGCACGTGCCACCATACCGAGCTAATTTTGTAATTTTCATAGAGATGGGGTTTCAGCATGTTGGCCAGGATGATCTTGATCTCTTGACCTCATGATCCACCCGCCTCAGCCTCCCAAAGTGCTGGGATTACAGGCATGAGCCACCACCCCCTGGCTGACATTACATATTTATAAAGGGTAAATTCATCAAAGGACGTAACAGCCCTACATGTGTATACACCTAAAAGCAGAGCTTCAAAACTAATGGAACTGAAAACAGAAACCGACAAATCCACAACTATAGTTGGAGACTCCAGCAGTCTCAATAATAAATAGAACTAGTAGGCAGAAAATTAGCAAGAATATAGAAGATCTGAAAACACTATCAACCAACCTGACCCAACTGACGTTGATAGAACACTGCCCTCAAAAAC